AGTTCAACTTGTTACCAAAGACTACCATCAAGAGTATGACATGGCTTAGGAAGAAACATTTGTCCCTATTACAGAAATGATGACTCTTCGCATTATAATTTCAGTGGCCTCTATTTGCTGGTGGAAATATTTCAAATGGATGTCAAGAATAGCTTATTGAATGGTGACATTCATGAAAATGTTTATATGACCCATCCTCTTAGTGTTGCCCACCAACTTGGTGAAAATGTTTCAAAGTCTCTTTTGTTCCTTTCACGTTCGCTTTAGACTTACGTGCTTACTCTGATGTTGATTGGACTGGTGATCCTACTGGATTGCAAGTCGACCACTGGATTCTGTATTTTCCTTGGTGATTCACTTATTTCATGGGAGTATAAGAAACAAGATGTTATTTCTCGATCTTCTACAAAAGTTGAATATTTTGCCATGACCTCGACTACTTGTAAAATTATTTGGTTACGTTGGCTACTTGTAGATATGGGCGTTTATCTTCATCATCTCATTCCATTAATCTTCAGTATGGTTCTATCATATTACCTTTTGTGTCTTTTTCTCTACAGATTGCTGATATATTTACCAAGGCACACTCCGCTTCATGCTTTCGTTTTTTATTTGACAAACTCCTCATGCTTATAGTTGTAGTTTCGTGAGTTTGCGTGGGATGTTAGCATAAATTATTATGATCTTTATTGTTATTAGTCCTTGAGGATATATTAGTCTTTTTTTGTTATGGTTTAGGGTTCAATCTATATAAACATCATATTATGTATTTCATTAATTAATTTTCTTTTCCATATCAATAAAGTAATTCCTTGTTTTCTCCCTAGTTTATCACTTCTTTCTCAATTTATTTTATGTCCATTCAACTCTTTAATAAGATTAAATAGTGGGTGACAAGGGCAACTGCATTGCATCAAAGACTTTCGAAGTCTTTATAGCCTGTCAACTTTATTATTCCATTTCCATAAATTTTGCATTTTCTTTACATAATCGTGAACATTTATATGTCCTATCATTATCAAATGTTGTAGGGTTGGTTGGGAAGAAAAAAAAGACCAAGTCATAAATTATAAAAATATCATAAATTATAAAAATAACTTTTATAATTCAAAATAATTTAAACGTAGTCCATTTATTGTTTTTTTTTCCCTTAATGTAGACCATTTATCGTTCGATAATTATCAAGTGATTAGTGGATTTATTTGATAATTTTAAATCATATATGTTTATCCGTGATTGTTGTGAAATTTTCTTTTAATTGGCTGCCAATTTCTAGTCGAAGTAAAATAAGCCATAATTTTTTATATCACAATGTCATAAACACATCTTTTTAATCATGACTTCTTAAATAATTTTTGCAGAACCAAAAATTAAAATTTGGTTCTAATTCTACAAATTTTTTTATCTATTTATTCTTATTCATCAATTTTCATTAAAACGAAAAAAGTCCCGATCTCTTTAAATTTTCTCTCTCAATTCTCTATTAAATGCTATCATTTAATCGCAAGAACACTTTTTTAAATGATGAGTTTGAAATTATTTTCTGAAAACAAACTATTAAAATTTTGATTCCCTACTCTCCTAGTTCCACAAATTTTCCACCTATTTGATTTTTATTCATTCATTTTCATGATGTAAATAGTGATCCCCTATAAGAATTGGACATTTACCATGTTTCCTTGTACAACTTGAGAAAAAAAAGATCAATTTTTACCTTAAACTTGACAGATCTATCAATTATTACTATAAACTTTCAATTTCATCAGGTCTATCAATTATTACTATAAACTTTCAATTTCATCAGGTTGCACTCATTTTTTCCCTTTGAATTCAACATCAAATTGCACCTTCAATTGGTTAAGTTTTGAAATCCTTATAGTAAACTTTAAAAGGTATTACAATTTTTACCTTATAGCAGGTTTTTGTTTGAAGGGTCATTTAGAAAAGTATTATTTTGGTACGAAATCAATACAATTGAGACAAAAAATACAAAAAAAAAATATTTTTTTTTTCAAATTTGTAAGTTTTAGTGAAGTTATTTAATGATGATTTTGTTCATTAATCAAACTTAATTTTGTATAAAACTTAATTTTGATTAAATTAGTATATTTATAGAGTTTTTTTTACCTAATTTTTTTGTTAAAACTAGTGGGGGATTGTACAAATTGAATAGTGGTAAAATTTTGGCACCTGTCTAAGTTTATGGTCAATTTGACGATTAAATTGAAAATTTAGGATAAAAACTGATACAAATTACAACCTACCAAATTCATGGGCAATTTTCAAATTAAGTACTTAATTTCAATTTTATTAAAAAAAATAAATTAAAAGAGCTAATTAAAATGTTTGTCTATAGCTCTACTTCTTTTCATGCGCCTTTGCATTCAAACTGATTTTGGTCATCAATCATGGAAAATAAAACAAGTAATTAGAATAATCAAAACTTGAAATGATATCAGGGATAAAGCTAAAAATGAAGTTGACTCAAAAGTCTTTCATGGCCCATTAAACGACTTCTTGCTTCTGTTTAATTAAATCTTTATTGAAGGGTTGGCTGAAAGAAACAATCCTTTTAAATTATTAGGATGAAAGAAATAAGAGATGAAATTCTAAAAATAGCGAGAGTCTTTGTCTTTTAATTTCTTTTTTTTGTTTTTGTTAAAAAAATAGTTGAAACATTACCACCATGACCTTCAAAGATAATCAGTTAATTCTTTGTCATTTTTAATAAATTGGAAATTGGTATAAGATATACTAATCAAATCAATTATTGTTTGGCAATTACTAATTAACTAGTATATTTATGCCATAATTTTAAATCATATGTTATCGGTCAACAATTAGAATATGAGTGTCAACTTAAACATAAACTCAATAAATTAAAAGACACGATCAAAAGGTTGTGAGTTCAAATCTCTCCCTCCTATATGTTGTACTAAAAAAATAATTAAAATATGAGCCACTGACCAAAAAAAATTTCCATTACAAGTAAAAGACATCCTTTTAATTGTGATTCTAAAATAATTTTTGCAAAAAGAAAAAAATTGTACTAAAATTCATATATAAAATGCACAAAGTTCTAAACTAAATTCACCCTTCAGTATTTGAGTTCTTATCAAAATGATGAAACTTCGAGAGAAAGGTTTATTTCTATTGGCCCTCTTGGTGCTTCTGATTCAATTTTCTTTTCAGCTATAACCTGCATCGAAAAGGAGCGAGAAGCTCTACTTCAACTCAAGAAAAGTTTTGATGATCCTTCTAATCGCTTGGCTTCATGGAAAGGAATAGATTGTTGTAACTGGGATGGAGTTGGCTGCAATGAAACCAATGGACACATTTCTAAGATTGATCTTCGAAACAATCAGGTTTTCCTTGACTACTCTACATCTTTTAACAAGTAATTCGATTGACTCTAGTTTGTTAGAGTTCAAATATTTAAATTACTTGGATTTAAGAGGGAACAACTTCAACTATAGTCAAATTCCAAATTTCTTAGGTTCAATGCTAGAATTAAGATACCTTGATCTTTCTCTTGCATATTTTTATGGGAAAGTTCCTCCTCACCTGGGGAATCTTACTAAATTGAACTTTCTTGATTTATCATCACCCTATGATCAATATTCTGGTGGAAGATTGAACATGCTTAATGGTGGCAATGGTGAATGGATATCTCGGCTTTCTTCTTTACAAGCCCTTAACTTGAGTGGGATGAACTTTCCAACGGCTTCAAATTTGATGCAAGTGCTTAGTTCTCTTCCTTTATTGTCATCCTTAAGATTTAGTTCTTGCAGCCTTAAAAACCACAACTTGTATTATAGTTCCTTGAATTCTTCATTTCTTACTAGACTTCAACTTTTAGATTTGTCTTATAATAACTTTACTGGGCCTATTCCTGAAGCTTTCCAGGATATGACTTCCTTGAGATTTTTATACCTTTCAAAAAATAAATTCACTACCATCAAGGGTGGACTGTCGTCCTTCATTGGAAACAATTGTCGCCTAAAAGAGTTTTATTTATCGAGGAACTATGATCTTGGTGGTGAGGTGTTTGGAAGTTATGAAAATGTATCTATGGATTGCAATAGATGCGATCTCCAAGAGCTTGACTTATCACTTACAAATGTGAGAAATAAAATTCCAAATTGGTTAGGAATGTTCAAGCAATTGCAGACCCTTCGTCTCTTTGGAAGTAACATTTATGGTCCAATTCCTGCTTCACTTGGAAATTTATCGAACATTCAATATTTAGATCTTACTCACAATAACCTAAGTGGAGCAATTCCAACCTCCATTGGAAGATTATTGAATTTGAGAGCATTGAGTCTCGGATCAAATAGATTTGAAGAGGTGGGTGCGGAATGTTTTAGCCAACTTACAAGTTTGAAGACCTTGGACATATCAGGAAACAAGCTCAAAGGCGTTATTTCAGAAGCTCATTTTGCTAATCTTTCTCAGTTGGATGGTTTAACGATGGGTTACACTGACTTATCATTTCACATAAAATCCAATTGGGTTCCTCCTTTTCAATTGAAGTTCTTTTCAGCATCGTCATGTAAATTCTTGGGAAGCAAGTTTCCTGAATGGCTTCGAACACAAACAGCACTTCCTAATTTGCAATTGTCCAACATAAGTATCTCAGGTCCTATACCAACATGGTTGAGAGGGCAAAATCTAACCCATTTGATTCTTTCCCATAATCAGATCGTTGGACCACTCCCATCCAGCATTGGTGATCAGATGCCCAATTTGAGAGAGCTGTATCTCAATGATAATCATGTCAATGATTCCTTACCACTATCGATTTGCAAATGGAAGAATCTGAGAGTTTTGGATCTTTCAAACAACAGGCTCTCTGGATGGTTCACGGTTGTTTCTTGACTTCAAACCTGTTTAGTTTGGATTTGTCTTCGAGTAACTTTTCAGGGGCCTTTCCATATTCACTGGGAAATCTTTCGAGCATTGTACAATTGTACTTGAGAAAAAATAATTTTGAAGGATCCATGCCAATTGTCTTGAAGAATTCCAAACATTTGTTGTATTTGGATCTTGAAGGAAACCATTTCTCCAGAATCATCCCCACATGGGTGGGCCATAATCTTCGAAATTTGCGAGTTCTAAAACTACGAGGTAATATGTTCAATGGCACCATTCCTTCAAGTCTATGCCTTCTCCCACACTTGCAAATTTTGGATCTGGCACATAATCAATTACAGGGAAATATCCCACCAAATCTCAGCGGTTTTAGTGTAATGACAGGCAAGGTACCGAGTGAATTTGTGTCTTGCGATATTGTTGGTTGTGTTTTTACTGCAAAAGGTGGCGAACAATATTTGAAATCGAGGGAGATGGATTACTCATTTTCACAACTAGCATTGATGGTGAATATAGACCTCTCTAATAACTCCTTGGTCGGATTCATTCCATGTGAGATAACGAGGTTGACGAAGTTAGTTGGATTGAATCTATCCCACAATAATCTATTAGGGACCATTCCTACTGAAATGGGGGCAATCTAGTCATTACAATCACTCGACTTATCTTTCAATCGATTTTCTGGGTCAATTCCCCAAAGCATGTCAAAATTAAATTCATTGGGGGTGTTGGTATTATCTCACAACAATCTCTCCGGAAACATTCCTTGAGAGGGTCATCTCTCCGCATTCAATGAGGCTTCCAGTTTTGATGGCAATCCTAAACTTTGTGGAGATCCACTCCCAGTTAAATGTGTGAATGAGAAACCATATGAGCCGCCACATGGACTTGAAAATGCAGATCAAGAGGAGGATGAAGGGGAAAAGTGGTTGCTTTATGTTATTATAATGCTTGGATTTGCTACTGGATTTTGGGCAGTTGTTGGAAGTTTAGTATTGAAGAGGAGTTTGAGATATGCTTATTTTATTTCAGGTTTGTGGATGAGACTCAATACAAGGTTCGTGCAGCAATATGGCGATGGTGGAGCAAAACTCAAAGAAATCTGCATTCACAAATGAGTAGGTAACAAAGTTTTTTTTTCCACCCTACCAAAGCTAATAGAAGTTGAGTCCATTACTGGTAAAATTATAATTGCTTGATTTCTTTAGTTAATGTGTCTTTTGAACAAGAAATTGTGTGGTTAATTACTAGTTTGCAAGTTTTACTATACTGTTTTATTGAGATTATTGAAGGGTTGGTATCTCAAAAAAATGTCTAATTCTTCAAATTACATGTATTTTATATGGTTAAATAAAAATATTTCAATATTGCAAGACTTCCATAAATCCTTAGTTTTTAAAATCATATCTTTTTTTTATATATATTTTTAGTTAGTTTAATATGTTATTTTAATAATATAATTTTGTTCCTTTGAGGATGAAATCCGACTTCAACTCCAATCACAGACGTTTTAGTATCGAATTGTGCAGTAATTATAAACTCATATATAGGCTTTCATTTTTCATGTGTAACAGACTTCCATATTCCTACTCTTATAAATACATTAACAATATTGTTACATTATGAAACCTTATGCAACACATGTGGTTTAATTTTCAACTATTCTATATAAATGTACCGTACATGTAGTAGAATTTTATTTTGGGTTGTTATGGATGGAAAAATCTCTATTTTCTACCATTCGAGTTCGCTTTATTTAAAGAATTCAAAAGGTGAAAATTAGGGGCCTTAAAATTTTCCTAGAGTTAGGAGAAGACATTCTATATTCAAAAGGTGAAGATATTCTGGTAATCCTCGGTTTTTTCTCTCTATAAATAGAAGGAACATAATCATAATTGAGGTACGCTACAAAACTCTACTCTTTGCTATGCTTCACATAAAAACTTCAATTCTGACTCAAGCATCGGAGTGTGTGTGGCTAGCACCACACTAGTGTGTAACCTTTCTATTTTGTAGGTATGTCGAATCCCTTTTTATTATTGAAGATTATTGCAAATTTGGTGAATCTAAAGGGCCAAATTTATGCAACAGTTGCCACCATATGTAGGGACGACACAACCAATATTCAAAGCATAGTGTTCAATCGATAAAGTGGTAGGAGCATTGCTCAACCAGAAAGAATACTCAAACAACAGAGAGGTAGTGTTGAAGCAACAAAAACGGTAGTAGCAGTATCAAAGTGGCGTAGTTCGACACAAACAAAATATGGGAAAAGAAAAACATGTGGCCATTAAATAAAGATTTAAAATTTTGGTGAATAATCTTCGCTAAATAAAATCTTTTACAAAATTGCTTTCTGTCTCTTCATTTAAAAAATATTTCCTTAGTGACATCACCCATCTCGTTTCTTGGAAGAAATCCTAGCCTCCATCCTTGTTCTCTCTCTTCCTCATTATGTGTTATACTGCCGACACTTCACAATCTTCTCCGATGACTCATTACAACAGCATTCTCCCTTGCGTTCAACGACCCACGATGACTGATCCAACACCCACGACAGTTCAAGGACGGTAGCAGCAGCGACGCTGCTCACGAACTCCGACAACGGCAACTCCAACGTGCATTGTTCCGAATAATTTTATTTTTGGATCATATTAACCTTCATATTTTATATGATTCTTAAATTTTCCTTTAAATTTATTCTTTTAAGAAAATAAATTATCATCCTCATCACATACCAATATAATTGAGTATAAAAGAAATATAATTTAAAAGTCTATTCTTAAAAAAAAAAAATTTAAATCTCTCATTTCTCTCTTGTGGGAAGAAAGTGCCTTGTGTACCTACATTGGGATTGGTGAAGCTAAATCGAGGAATGAACTAAAGATGAGTCGGGATGAAGTAAGGATAAAAACAGGTGAAACGGGGTGCTGCAAGCCAGAGGGACCAAGGAGGCAGAGCCACGATGCTGTCTAGATGGGCGCATGCAGACGTTTCCCGTCCGCAGCGCCATGGTGCTGTATCGACTTTATAAATACTGTAGTTCTGTGATTTTAGGGTTGTTGAGCCGTTTTAAGTCGTTTTCAAAGTAGTTTTGTGGCAGATTGTAGACAGCGGTTGAGAGCATTGGTAGCAGCTTGGGATAGATCAAGAACGTTTTATTCGGGGTAATTAGATCTAGAGGGTTTTTGTTGGGATCTCAAGAGAGTGAATATCTAGGGGAGATATTCTAGTGCTTGTATCCAATATCTTTGTCAAAGTAACCTCATAAACTATTGGGGTCAACCAATATAAACTATTGTGTCGTTTTTCTGCTTTTCTATTAATCTCTTATTGTGTTGTGTGATTGGATTTACTTACTTGGATAACAGTAGATGGAGAAATTGTTTGGAGTGCTTAATTTCTCAACAATCTAGTCATGTAATAATGGCACTAACAAATAACCTATATAAATACATATTTTGTTTAGTTCAACAACATGTGGAATAGAGATTTAAACCTCCGAACTTTTAGTCGAGAATATATACCTTAACCAACTTGTTATACTCAAATTGACACCGATAAATATATATACTACCTAAAAGTAAAAAAGGAATGAAATATAACACACATACTCTCTCTCTCCTATAGATGGTAGTTCTAATCACGAAATGGTACTTCGTTAAGACTATGTTTAATATATAAATGCATCACTATGTCTTCTGAAATTAAAGAAACCATCTCCAATATATCATTGTTGGTAAGGGTTGTCGAGACCCTCCAAAATAATTACTGATTCTACCAAATCTAATTTGTAGAAGTAGTGAGACTAGATCGAATCCCAAGGTAACCAATAAAATTAATTTCTCAAAAGTTGTAATAAAATGGGGGGTTTTGAATTTCAATTTTGAAATTTAAAAATTAAAAGTAAACGAAAGTCAATCTTACCAAACTTCCAATCCAAAAGTGTGATACTCATCCGTAATCTTGATCATATGCTTTACACAAAATTGATTTCTTAATTCAAAAACTTAATCTATTTACTAGGAACAGCAGTGGTAAGTGTTAATTCTCCTAATTTAATTAATTTAGATCAAGCATCAAAATTAAATCTTATTAATTAATGAACTGGGTACGGTAGCGTTCCATATTAATCAAAGAATAACATTAAGGTTAATGAGAATGACTAAACCAAAATCAAATAATTTAAGATATCTGCAAGTTAATTATTTTTGTCCCTTTATTTCCTTAGAGTTTATTATGCAAGCTATGTAACATGGAACCATAAATATCACACATATAAGCCAACTCCTTGCAACTTATTTAAATCATTCATGACAATTATGGATCACAAACTCATGGGTAGTAGTAGAACAATTAATATGAATTTTAAGCATCAATTTAATTAATATAAATTGTTCATCAATAATAAGATTAAGAAACAAATAATACTTGAAAAATAAGAAATCCTTATCTTACTTGAGCCTCTCAAACTTACTAATGGCGGAGGAAGATAACTTGAATTTAGGAGAAGTGAGCTTTTTGTTAGTACTAGAATAATGAATCTTCTAATAAGACTCATATATTTATGGAGATTAATTTTATCCTCTTCTAAAGAGTAATCATCTGAATAAGGAATTCCTAACTAATTAAGAAAATCTTATTTAAAAGAAAATAAATAAAATAAAATACATCTAAAAGAGAAACATTGCATGATATATAAGGGTTGTGGAGTCCCTCCTTTCTCAAGTTTTAGTAAAATTGGGGGATAAACTAAAACGAAAACAAAAGTCAATCTTAACAAATTGTTAGCTATTTTGTGTAATTTTCCGAACAAGTGGTATCAGAGCAAATGTTTAGAGTCATGGGATTCAGTGAGCAATCCAGTTTTGTAGGGATCATGAGATTCAATGGACAGAATTTTAGGTTTTGGAAGATTCAGATGAAAGATTATTTGACCGGTAAGAAGATATACAAAACCTTTAAGGGACGACAACCTGGGGTAACAAATAAGGATTGGTGATAACTCTCCGTAAGAGAGTATTTTGTGGTATAATTTGGGCAATTTTGATGTGTAAATGTGAGAGTCCTTATCGAGAGACCATAGAAAAGATAAAAAATCACTTACTTAGGTCCTTGAGCTATTAGAATTCTCAATTCCCTCATTTTGAATGAATTATGCTTAATTATTGACGTTTTGTATAGGAATGGAAGAATTTGTTGAGGGCAAGCCAAGTGCTTCCAAGGCTGTGAAATTGTTGCTCGAACATGGCAGGAAGATGCATTTATACTGGAGCCAGAAGCCGCTCAGGATGCTCTAGAGCGTGTGACTGCACAGTAATTTATTTGCACCAGTTTTACCGTGTCCGTACAGCTTCCTGGTGCAGCCCTAATTTTAAGGATCCGATATAAATAGCATAACAGTGCCCAATCGCCACAGAGAGCCCTAGAACAGAAAAAACATTTGGGCATCGAAAAAAGAGAACATTCCCTACCTTTTCTCATCGAAGAAGAAACTGAAGAACGTGGCTGATCTTGGCGTCACCGTTTTGCTGTTGAGGAAGCCTCCATTTCTCTACTGTCTTCTTCATCAATGAGCTACATTTCTTCTTTACCCATTCTTCTCTTTTCTTTTGTCATGAACTAAACCCCATCTTCGGGGGGATGAACTTGTCGTAGCTCTTGTTTATTTATGTTTTAGTAACTCATATATATTTATGGTGATTTAATAGAGGTGTTTTTATTATTTCATCTTACTGATTTTGTTTGGCCAACATTATTGATTTGCTATGCTCACTTGAGGCTTGGAAAAGTCCTTGTGTTGCGTGTTTGCCTCTATTTGCGTAAGATTTCTCTCTTTGAAGTAGAATGGTGAGTACTTAGGGATGAGACTCACCCTTTCGTGCCTACAAACTGTTCGTATTGCTTGTTTAGTCTACAACGGGAGTTGGGGTTAAACATGTTTGGGTATCTCGGGAGAGAGCCATGTCGGTTTGGGCATTCAGCATTTTGAGTTTACTAGAGCATAGCTAGACATGAGTGAGAGCATTAGAGTGATTCCCCCTCGATTTACCTTCATTTTACATTTTCTAAGGGTAGAATCGCAGAATATTTATGTTCTTGTTTATTTTTCTGTTTT